AAGAAAGAAAGAAAGAAAGAAAGAAAGAAAGAAAGAAAGAAAGAAAGAAAGAAAGAAAGAAAGAAAACAGCATTTAGGGCTAGAAGGCTACTCAGAGGTCATCTAGTCCAACCCTCTACTGCTGCAGGAAACCTTACATTGTCTGAATTATTTTGGTGCCTCTAACAGAGAGGAAAATTGCCAGAAAGGAGAAGGAGTTTACTAGAACAAGGCTGCATGCAGAGGAAGGCAGAGATAGTCCCTGACTTATGTCTACAATTGAGCCCAAAATTTTGGTTGCTGAGCAAGAGCGTTGTTAAGTGAGCTTCACCACATTTTACGCAATCCATGACATCTCCTGGTGAGTGACATCAAGTTGGCCATGTCCACTCAGTCACATGACTGCCAAGCCACACCCACAGAATAGGCAGTAAAAAAAATTTGAAACCCACTCATGGCCAATATGTACTATCACTAATAAATACGTTTTTGTGATTTACATAATCACAAAGATTACTCCTTTTATGAGAACTTTCAAAATTAAAATTTGTCCATTGATCCAAAAGGATTGGACACTTTGTATGGCATGTTTTTCAAACTCTGTCTCTTCTTTTTAGGCCAACAAATGGAACCAATGGAACTCACATGAAACCATTCCAGAATAATAAGTAGGACATGCTGTGTCATATAAATCCAGAGACTCTGATGTTCTTGTAATAGTTCTCTGTTCATATATTAAGAATGATTGTCTTAGATCATATCTTTGAAATCATATGCTACGTTGTTATATTTTATCATTTACTCAGAAATCAGTTTCTCTGTAAGTTAGCAGGTTATGAATTTACTCCTGCAGTTGAACATATTGTCATGTTATGAAAATAAAGTCAAAATATTGTAGTTTAGCCATAAAACAATACTTCAAAAATATGTAATAATCTTGTGATACTTATGGATATAATAATGATGGAAAAACTAAAAATTCAAGGAATGTTCAATAACATTTGTTCTCTGGGTAACCAGATGTAAGGAAAGGGAAGCATTATCTTGTCTTTCCTCATACACATACACATATGTGTATCATTTTTGTTGCAGTTGCCTTCTCTTTTTCCACCTTGGAGTATTAATGTTCAATAACATGGGAGGATGAATGAACATGTATACACCAAGAAAAAGTTATGGTACACCCCCAAATCTCTGAATTAGCCTATAGAAGGAGTGAAGGGAGATGATGTTTTACCACTAATCAATGCAAGAATATAATTTATCCTATTTTAAGAAGGATTAGAGTATACAGAAGATCTTCTCTAAATGCAATTTCATAGTACTTCAAGGTAGAACTGGGGAATACCTTATCTGAAACTTCAAAGTCAGATAGAATAGTGATTTGACTCAGTAAAGAGCAGCTTTTAAAAATCTGATGTTATCACAATCATTCTATGTATAGTGGCAGGAAAGAGAAACAGTTTTGGCTACACTTGAAAACCAACCTACCATTTTGTCACAATTCCATAGATCTGTAATACTTTCAAAATGATATTGTCTGTATACTGCAGAGAATAGTTTATGGTAACTATTGTTTTTCTTTGTTCAACTTAAAATATTCAATAAGCTAAGTCAAGATAATATTAAGCACTCAGTACTCCCATTTCATCTCCCATGCCCATAGCAAAAACTGATGCAGACCTTATTAAATAACCCAAATGAAATCCATCTAGGTTCCAGGACATAGCAAATGGTATCCTTCTGTGGATAGAGCTCACAGAAAGAAAGAGAAAGAAGATAGAATGCATCTCAATTGCCACTTTACAAGGTGACTCATCACAATGCTAGGAAAGAATTTCATCAGGCTACCAACAGGATGGTTTGCTTATTAAAAATGAAAGATTACTTACATTTCATCCTCCATATATATCACAGTTGAAAATGAAAAAGATCTATTAGTAACTTCTCATGTATAACAGACTAAATGCACATGCATTACATTTAAATTTAGGCTTGGCATGTTTCTTCTTTGGCTCATGCATGCTTTTATAGAGATGCCTAGAACATCACTGTAACATCTTAAATTGTTCTAATAAAGATATTAAGCTATGATATAATTTTGGATGTTTTTTTTTAATTATAGAAATTGGTTAACAGATTAACAGTAGCTTGAAGGTCTTCCAGTACATCTTCCCCTCCCAAGCAGGGGAGCCTACATCATTTCTGACAAATGGCAATCCAATCTCTTCTTGAAAGCTTCCAGCTAAGGCTTTATAGAGTGGTACTAGTACCTCACTTGATCTTGATTGTATCCCTCTGTTAATGCAACTTAAGATTGTATTGGTTTTTTGGCTGCCACCACACACTGTTGTTTCATATTTAATTGTTGTCCAGTAAAACTCCAAGATCCCTCTCACAGTTACTGCTTTTAAGCCTGGTTTCACCCAGTCTATGCATGTATTTTTGGTTTTTCTTGCCTAAGGGTTAAGACTTTATTTTTCTCTACATTGAATTTCATTTTGTTAGATAAGTCCCAGTATGTTCAAGTCTGTCAAGATCCATCTGGATCTTATAATACAATACAATAGCAGCGTTGGAAGGGACCTTGGAGGTCTTCTAGTCCAACACCCTGCCTAGGCAGGAAAACCTTTACNACTAAAATACTAGCAAATAGGTTAATGTTGGTTATTCAACAATTGATTCATAATGATCAAACAGGTTTTATTCAAGGGAGACAAATGAGAAGTAAGGAAATGGTATAGGATTTTCTGCTTGAGCAGAGAGTTAGACTAGAAGACCTCCAACGTCCTTTCCAACTCTGTTATTCTGTTATTTGGTTACTTATTAGGAGCTGGTAATGATGGAGTATAAGTGCATTTCTAAAAAATCTTGTAGTCAAAAGAATTGACCATTATCCCATTTATATCAAAAACCTATCTATTACTAACAATTCCAAGACTAAATTAAACATCCTTCTAATGTGCTTTATTGCTCTACACCTTTTTATCTGCATCTTGTTTTCTTTAGTCTATGTTGTTTATTTCTTTTAAAAAACAGATTTATATCCTGCCTTTCCTTTAAAAGCAAAAGACAACACTTTCTATTTCTCCCTTCTTTTTTTCCCCACCACCGTGTTGTTGTAGGCTGTGCTGGATTTGTTATTCCATGACTGATCAAAGCCACTCACTCAGTGGCTGTGGCTGGGAACTGACTAGAAAGTGGGTTTCCACAGTCCTAGGTCAGCACTCATTTCAGAATTGTTTAATACTTTTTTCTTGACTTCACAGCCGATCCAGACAATCAGAATGTGTTTAAAATTCTTGAGCTGCAACTGAACTTTTTCCCTCTCTTTAGGCTGCTGTGAGTCCCAAACAGACCGACTAGAAATCAGTATGATCAGCAACCCTCTTGAAACTTTTGGAACCAAAGTGGAGTTCAAATGTGACACTGACCACGTGGATGCTGGCGTTTTCTGGGTTATTCAGAAATTGAATGGCGTACTCCACTTCATTACACATGTTACATCAAGATCTAAAGAGGTAACAGGTACTCTTGAAGGCTACAAGGCTACAAAAGCTGGCAGCTACTACCAGTTAACTATTGCCAACTTTCAGGAGAACCACGAGGGTACCTATTTTTGTGTGCGCCATCGCAATCAGAAGCTGCTTTTTAGTACAGGCATCCCAGTATTCTTGCCAGGTATGTTTCATCATAACTTTTAGATTCCCCATTAAAATCTTCTGCTCTATCTTGTGGTTAGGGATAATACGAATCAGGAGAGAATTGCTTGGCTTTTCTGCATTTTTTTCTTTTCTTTTTTTCTTCCTTTTCACTTATATCTATAATGATTTTGGAACCATTTAAAACTATGGTGAAGAAACATTGTAATAAACTATCCAGCCATTAACCATGAAAACCGAAGAAAAACACTTTCATATCTATCTTGTTTGCAGTGACAACTACTCCTGTGCCTTCTACCACCACACAGAAAATTTCAATCACCACCAAAGGACTGATAAAAGAAGAAGCTATGAAATGTCCCAATTCTACAGTCAAAGGTATGTTTCCTTAGTCTACTTCCAAATTAGATGCCATATCACTTTAGGCTCTGGGTTTAACACAAAAAACATTTCATGTTGAAAACAACACACAGTTTTGATTTCCATCAGGAGAAAATAAGGGAGGTCAGTTCAACAAGGAATTGAATGGATTTGAATTAAATTGAATTGTTCAACAAGTAAAGGTGTGCTCATGTAATATTCCCCTGCAATGGGTTGCAAAGGATTTTTTACTGTGGTACTTCTATGTATCCTCTTATTTTCCCACACCAAAGGCCATATTTTTCACATGTGTGTTTTATACATCCATCCAAATGCAAGTTCTACAGTCGTTCCAAGTTGTCGAGAGAAGCATGTCTGGTCATAGCTGAAGATTAGCTGAGCAGAGCATCCTGATACCTCTTCTCTGTCTTTCTTCTTCCAATGGATCTCTTCTTCTCCAATGGAGCAAAGAGCTGGAAGGGCTATTTGAGCCAGAGAGGAATAATGCAAGTCAATTAGCAATGCAAACAAAAGCCAAGGGGATGGGGCAGTCCATATGAGGTGGGTGTAAAGGTTTTCATTGGAAAGAAAAAAACTACAGACAGTCCTTGATATACAACTATAATTGGGCCCAAAATTTATGTTGTTAAGTGAGAAATTTGTTGAGTTTTGCTCCATTTTACGACTTTTCCTGCAGTCGTAATCACTGTAGTTGTTGAATTAGTAACCCAGTTGTTAAATGAATCTGGCGTCCCCATTGGCTTTGCTTGTCAAAAAGTGGACCCTGGGACACTGAAACCATCATAACATATGAACCAGATGCCGAACATCTGAATTTTGATCACATGACCATTGGGATGCTACAAAGGTTGTAANTTGGGTTTTAATTGGGTTTGGAATATTTCATTTAATTTTTTTTTAACTTTTATATCATGTGTTTCTTTTAATTGTTGTGCCCTGAGTCCTTGGGAGAAGGGCGGCATATAAATCTAATAAATCTCAATCTCAATCTTAAAATATGTTTAAAAACTCTATTAGAGCTATATTCCAAATTCATGTAATCTTTCAAGTCTTTTTTAAAAATAAACTTAAGCATTCAATACTGACCGAGTTGGCCAAGAATTTTTACAAAAGAAAAGATAATGTGACATTGACTGATTAACCAAATATATAATTTTCTCAAAAATTGCTAAAGCACACATCTCTGAAATCCAATCTTTTTTATCTTTTAGCTATTATAGGAGCACAAAAAAAACCATTTGTTTTGAGCATGTTAATTCCAAGTTGTATTTTACTCTGCACAATCTACATGTTTTTAAAACCAGAGTCTTCTTTAATAATTCTGTCAATGTATTATATGCCATTATTCCAAAAGTGATGTAAACAGAAGTGTAATTAAAACATTTGAGTTAAGTGCCCCCAAATTTCTTGCATGATGGTGATGATTTTATCCATTCATTGTGTCTTGGCAATTCTAAGGGCTAGATCTCTCCACATCTTCCAATCTTGCATTATTTATTTTTCCTATGTTCTGGCTGCTCTGGTTGCCTGTTACTGCTAACTCTTCCAAACATATTCTTCAATATTAATAACATAGATATTTGGGGAGCTGCTAAAGCATCAAATCCATAGAGAACTGTCAAGATATGCTTTAACTGGATATATATCTACTTTTAAATTAATGGAAACAAAATTATGTTTGCAGTTGCTAAAAAGATGGTACCTTTTTGTGAGTATTTTTTCCATTGATTTTAAGAATAAAGTTAAGCAAAAGCATCAAGTATTCATGTGAGTTCATATCAAAACAGGGCCCAAATATATTTTCTCACTATTAAAGTTGGAAACACTTAATTAGTGCTAATAAATATTGTATTTAGCAACTGCCAAGGCTTAAATGAGTAAGTACAATAACATTCCAATTTAAATTATAGTGGCATTCTGTCTTCCCAAAAACCATTCCTATAAAAAAAAATGATACTAAAATGCAAGACCAGTAATTGTTCTGAAAATCCAGATTAAAATTGCTGTCTGTCATAAACAAATTTAATTTAGAAAGAAAGATTGTAGATGTTTTACTTTCCCAACTGATTTTTTTCAAAAACCTATCACTTTGATCAAAATATTTTTTAGCTTAAATGTAATTATTGCTCTTAAAGCAGGACTGGGAATTACATTTATTTTAATCACATTTATTTTACACCGCTAAGGTGTAATATAACATCTATCAAAATCTAATGTAATATGTTCCAGCAGAGTAGACATATTAAATGGGGCAGATTTGGAAATTTAGGAATATAAATCCATAAATATTTAATAAAATTGATAGATACTAGAAGTCCCATCTATGTCCACCATTCTAATGAGATATCCAACCCTAAAGGAAGAAAATTAGATTTACTCCAATTAATCTTATATCTGGATTATAAATCATGTGAGTAGGGGGAAAACACCTGATGTGGTTTCTATCTTTTAAAAAAAGTGGAGGGAGTATGGCTTCAGGAAACTAAAGACCGATCAGCCTAATATCAATACTTGGTAAAATCCTAGAAAAGGTAATGAAGCAATGAAACTATGAACATCTAGACGCAAACAGAGTTATAATCAGAAGCCAAAATGGGTTTTGTCAAAAACAGATCATGCTAGACAAAACTTATTGCATTTTTAAACAAAGTGACTAAATTAGTGGACCAGCAAAATGATGTGGACATAATTTGTACTTCAGTAAGGCGCATCATAAAGTAGACTACATCCTATTACTTGTGAAGATAGAAAAATATATGTTTGACAACATCACAATCAGATGAATTTGTAACTGTCTGACCAGCCACTCTCAATATGTATCCTTAATAGAACTACATGAAGAGAAGTATGCAGTGGGATACCTCAAGATTCTGTCTTAGGCCCAATAGTTTCAACATCTTCCAAAATGATTTAGATGAGGGAACTTATCAATTTTTCAGACTACACCAAGCTGGCAAGAATACTCAATACTCCAGAAGATAGGCTCGAGATTCAGAAAGATTTTGATAGACTTGAATGCTGGGCCCTATCTAACAAAATGAAATCTAGTTGTGAGAAAAATAAGATTTTACACTTAGGCAAGAAAAACAAAATGCACGGGTATAGAATAGGTAATATGTGGTTCAATAGCAATAACTGTGAGAGGGTTCCAGGAGTCCTAGTGGGCAATCACTTAAATATGATCCAATAGTGGGCTGCTGCAAAAAGCCAGTGCTGACCGAGGCACATTAACAGAGGGATAGAATTAAGATCATGTGAAGCATTAGTTCCATTTTACAAGGTCTAGGTAAGAACACACACCTGGAATACTGCATCCAGTTTTAATCATCACAATATAAAAAAGATGTTAAGATTCTAGAAAAAGTGCAGAGAAGAGCAACAAAGATGATTAGGGAATTGGAGGCTAAGAACTCTTGCAGGAATTGGATATGTCTCATTTAATGAAAAGAAAAACTAGTTTATTTATTTATTTTGTTTGTCAAACATGTAAAAGACAACAGGTATACGTTTAAACTAATCAAGGAGAGATCCAACCTAGAAATAATGAGACATTTTGTGGCAACTAATCAGTGGAACAACTTGTCTTCAGAAGGTGTGGGTGCTCCATCACTGGAGGTTTTTAAGAAGAGATTGGATAGCGATTTGTCTGAAATTGTATAGGATTTTCTAAGTATAGGTAGCAAGAAATAAAAATTTAGGTAAAATATTCATTTTCACTGCTGCTATTCTTCCCAGCAAAGATAACTGTAACTTCTCCCATTTTTTCATCTCTGTCTGTACACTATGCCAAAGTGGTTCATAATTATACTTGTATAATTTCCCATTTGAGATTGAAATATGAACCTCCTAAATATTTGACCTTTTTAACTATTGACCTTTTTAACTATTTCGCA